CTGGTGTTCTGTTGTGACTGTCCTCTGGGTGAAATTGGATTAAGCTTTGGCGATTAACAAATGTCATTTCGTCATTAGCACTTGTACACCTGTGCTAAATTTAAATGCATACGCACTTGCTGCATGCTAATTGGGATTATTGTCATTTTGTGTTTAAGATGGGGTGGTGTTTTTATTGGAGATAATCTGAGTAAAAAAATGCTAACAGCTGAGGCTCTATGCGGCCACAACAACCACAAACACTTCTGAAAAACATACATTTTCCAAACCAAGGCTGTGACAGCGGCCCATGGCCACCTTTGAAGCTTTGAGGCCAACAAGATAAACTCATCATAAGCGCTCCATTTTGTCTCTTCATAGCTGTAGGACTTGAACATTACAAACATTTTGTCCTCATGCAGCTAATTTGACTAATTATTTTCTCTTTGCATCTATGTCCTTTCTCCACAATCTCAGATGACCTTCATCTGAAGCATCACATCTCTGAAGAGGCAAGAAGACGAGATACAGAGTGTTCTCAGCTCTCACCAAGAGCTGTTCTCCCACTCTCCCTCACAATCTCTCATCCCATCTGTTGGAGCCCAGTTGCCAAGGCGGTTTCGTAAACAGAAATTCATCTCTTATCTGCGTCACTTGAGTGACCTTTCAAGATAATTGCACAGTTTTTGAAGGGCAGCCTTCGCTTTTTGGTCATTTGCTAAATGATTACGACCATTTGAACATCTGCACTTTTTAAAAACCTTAAAGGGAGGGCCCAAACTCTCTGATTTACCGTTTGTTTTGCACCAAAAACAATGAGTTTCTCTGTTAACGACAGGCCAATAAGTTAGTTATTGCTGTTTTCACCTTTGCTGACACCTTCAAAAAAGCTGCTCCAGCCTCATCCTACTCTAGTATGAGTTATGACAACTCTAATTCATTGCCCAGCAGCAGCCCTAGAGGGCGAGTGGCAAGGGCCGACGAGAAAGAAAATGAACAGGAAGCAGAATCAGAAGGGTTAAACTCTCTGAAAGCGAGCAGCGTTAAGCCCAGCGCTAATGGCTCCTCTCAGGAGCACGGGAGTGGAAATAGAGGCGGCTCAACTGGCGGCTCATCTCCCAGTGTGGGGTCGGCGTCTGGAGGCTCGTCCCGAGACCGTAGGGGGCCCAACTCAGATGATATGGACGGACACTCCAGCGGAAACGACTCTGGGGAGAGGGAGAGCGAAGGCGGGATGGAGAGAGACGGCGCGTCGCGCGGGCGCCAGTCCGTACGCAGCTCCCACAGCTCGTCCAATGGAAAGGACTCTGGCATGATGCTGGAAAACACTGAGAGCAACAAGAGGTAAGAGAAAGAGAAGTGACAAAAATAACATTTGAAAAAATATCCATAGCAACAGTCTTTATGCCAAAAGGCTCTTCTTGCATCACTTGCTAACACATGCTAATTACACATCTGATCCAGCATGTCAAACTCACCGTAATCATCTCTGTCTCTTCTTCCCCAGTACCAACTCCCAGAGCCTCTCTCCTCCCAGCAGCTCCCTGGCCTACAGCCTGCTGTCCACCAGCTCTGAGCACGACCCCCCCTCCACCTCGGGCTGCAGCAG